AGTATATATATATATATATATATATATATAGTATTGGATGCAGCATTCTGTGAGATCAGACAAACAATCTCCACCTGCCTTGACATGTTGTATATGAAGAAATTCTACTGACAGAGATGGAGTGAGTCTGTCTACAATACGGCATCTTCTATTAACTGGCTTGTTCTCTGAATCTCGTATCCTCATAGAGATCCATTATTTGTATCTTGCTGGCTATTGTTGAATTTGGGACTTCATCTTTAATCTCAAAAACTTGGATTGATGCTGGTTGCATTGACTTGAGTAGCTTCAATTGGTTTACATTCTGCAACCAAGACCAAGTCCAAGGCGTATATTCTTAAGTAAAGAGAAAAAACCATGAATCAAAGCCATTAAATAATATCTGTTAGAATGATATGAAGTGTTTTTGTTGTGTACCAGTGATAGAATGAGATCATAAAGCATAAAGAATATGATACACAGATTTCAGAGTATGAGTTCCAAGAATAGAATTAATGCCAGTATTCACATCATTGGTATTACTACTACATTTGCAACCATATGTTGTTCAGTTAGAACAAAACATCACAACATAGATGCCATTTTATTTTTTCTTTTTTGTTTTGATTTTTTTCTTCCAGTGTAAGCTTTTAATCAGACTTTAAAAGGATTAGGTTTCGTTTTTCAATATATTTAACTTTTTCAGTATATTTAATCACCTGTCTGAGAAACCTCTTTCATTATGACAATGCAGACAGGATATATGTGTCTTTAAACGGGATAACAATGATACTCACTTTTTCACAGAAGGCCTGTCTAAAACTCAGGTAAAGACCTTTTCTTTTCTCAGATAATGCTTGATTTACATGTTTACACCTTATCTTTGCAACTCAAGGAGTTCTTTATGTTTCAGCAAGGAACAAAATGCTCTAACGTCAAGCAATTACATTAGGAAAGGATTGTCATACCAACATGTCACGGACAGCTACAAGCACACCTGCAACAACCTTGTTGTGTGGTCCATTTGTCTTTTATCGTTTTGTGTTTTCTTGAAGTCATGTTTTGCTTGTAATTTTATTTGTTTTACCCTAGTTTTGTTGTACAAAACAGTCCACTAAGGCAATTTAGCCATCAACAGAGGCATTGGACCAAAACCGACGGTGCCTAAGACTTTGTCATGCCCTTCGACACCCGGTTGTGCTGGTTGTGCCTGCCATTCGTGAACTTGCGGTTTGCCTTTTTGGCTAATAAAGTCCTCAAATTGTTTGATCAATTACTTGTTCCGCTGCTTCTGAAGAGGACGATGGCATTTTGTCATCACCCCTTTGGCTACTGGTTTCTTTCTTTACAGGTCCTTGACAGATCATACATGTGGGCACATTTGTGTTGCCCTGGCTGATATTGTGGTTCACCATGCAGTGAACCAAGGCAGTAATTTCAGCCTAATTTTTAATCTGCAGCTCATGTTGACATGGATCTCATTCATTGACATAACAGGTTAATCACCCAGTTCAGGAAGTCCCAAATTTTACCCCAAGGCCCCATCTTTCACCGTCCATTCTCTCACCAGTTTATTTCCCCAGGACGAAGGACAAACAATGCAGAACATTACTTCATTGCTCAAGCATGTAGTGAATCAGTGACCTCCATTCATTGAGCATGCAGTGATTCTGTTAGATAAAGGACTCAACTTTTGGATCTTTAATTATTGAATGTTTCGAGCATCTGTCTTTTTTGTTAATAAAATTGCAATTTAATGTTAGTAGTCTACTTTGGACTCCTGGTGCTTGCAATGGCACCCATAGCTATGTAATATAGGGTGTAAATATTAAATCAAGAAAACAAAATTCCATATTCTAAGAAGCACATAAAACCTATTTACATAAAACAACAGCAACAAAATAGTAAGTCTCAACAATAAACCTATTTTCATAAAACAATCATTTGCAATTAGAAAAGGAAAATATTCAGAAGTGAGCAGAACATAAGGAAGCAGAAAACCAAGGTGTAAATCAAGAGAAAGAATAAAACAGCTTACAATTGTATAACAGAAGCAGCAAAACGAGATAAATAATAACCACCAGTCTTACAGAATGGTTGAACATAGAGGAAACAACATGAAAATGCCATGATGAATTACTAATTGAAGGTGGGAGAAAATATGTGGGGTAAGAACATATAAGCATATCTAGTAATGTTCTTTTAAGGTCAGGATATTGGTTCATAATGCCTGGGCATTCAAATTCTCAACAAATATGCCAGCATGAAACTGCATCCCTGTCAGATAGTTCTCATTTATGATCTATTGCAATTTATTAAGTATTATGACAATATGTGCGTAATTAATCAGCCAACCTTTCTTTTCTGCAAGAGAATTATGTGGACTATTGGTATTTGGCTCAATTTGACATGTATCAGCAACCACTGGTGGAATCTCCCGAAGAAGACGTTGTCGTTCTTCAGATGTACGAAGCCTTTCTCTTTTATCAATATAGTCATATAGCGTAATAGGAAAAAAAAAAGGGTCAAGGTGAAGCAATATAAACTAAAGTTTTCTAGTTGTTTACCTAAGATGATACAGAAATGATGTTAAAAAAGCAAGTAGTTGACTATATATTAGGTTATACATTGTAAACATTTATACATATTTTCAATTTTAGACTCAAAAGGATATTCTTTGCGCCATCCTTTTTCATTTGCTCGATCTATTAGTTTTTGTAGCTTCACAATCTCCTTATCAATCCACTGTCAATGAAAGAATGTAATCAGCCTAAACCAAAAAAAAAAAAGAATCAGCAGACTAACAGAAATGGACTAGGGAGCTTGAGATATTTCCTTTTACCATTCCAAAAAATGAGACTTCCTTGCAGAAAAGGACCGGGGATAGTGTCTAAAAAAAGGATGACCATATAGTGATAGTTAATGGGCTAACAATAGTTAGGAATATGAACTCTGGTTTCACAGGTCAAGGGCCAATCTCATTTTCAAATGGCTTATGGCTGTGACAGTCAATTCCACTAACAAGAGAAAATAGAAAAAAAAAAACAGCTTGCATCAGAAGTTTCTGGTCACAGGAAATAAGAACTCATACCAAAATAGGCAAATTATCATAACCACTGTGTTATGCGAGACTGATATACATACATGATTCATTATATCAACATGAACAATTTTGATCTTCTTTTCAAGCTCCGCCTGCAAAAACAACAAAGCTTCAGCAAATAACAATATGCAAACAAGGCATTTTCAAACTTCTTCAAGACGAACAAGATAACAATCAAGAAGAAAGAACAAGAAGTTAAACGAATTATGGGCATGACAAATATAAATTTTCAAAGGAAAGCATTGTCTCCGTGAAAAAAGAAAAAGAAAAACCTCTTGTGTGTGAATCAAGCTCTATGAAAGACACCAAAGAGATGTCTTGTGAGAAGTGTCTGAAAATAATGCTTTTTAAATTCTCCATGGCCATGGACACTCAAAAACTGTGTAAGAAACAAGTGATATCACTATGGCAAACTCAACTACTCAATTAATCCAATTTCAAACTAGATATCATTTTTTTTTCTGACTTGTTTACAATAACTCCATTAATGCAAAATCTCCAGTCATATTCTGGAAGCAAAAATGTGATTTTTCTCAAGTTTCATGTGGCATCTTGATTATGAATGTACATCTCATGAAACAACATGCTGAGGAGCATGCACCATCTAAACCCCAACCATTTATTGAATTTACGGATTTCATCTGGAACATTTAAAAGTTCAAAGTTTTGACCAGTTTTAGTACCAACCAACTTCAACTGGAACATTTAAAATTTCAAAGTTTTGACCAGTTTTAGTTGCAATCCAACCAACTTCAACTGAAACCAGTTGATACATACTAAATGGCTCCAGTGCCCCAAGATTGATCCAAGAATCCTCTGACATGCTCTCACATTCCCTCCTACCCGCACCGGTTGTCCGATTTGACCAGCCATTCAAGTCTTCAATGAGTAGTGTTCCTACAAGGCTTTAGCCACGAGATAGAAAGAGAACGAGTTTTCTTTTCTGTCCAATGTCCTACCTCCTTTCTTTTTCATATTATTTCCCAACTGATACACTAGCTTCATGCTGGAATACAGTATGAGTTGCACCCATGATTAGCACAGGATGGAAGTTGGAAAGGCAATCCATGATCTTCTTGGTAAGCTGATGGCAAAGTTTATGTAAACAAGACAAATGACGTCCATTTGCCCAGTTCTATGTAGCCACAATACTAAAATAAAACAATCATCTACCTACAAATTTGGCCAATCTCCTCCACTCTTTTGGTAGGCTGATGATACATATAAGAGGTTCATTTTCGTCAAAAATGCCACCATTATATATCTGAATTTTCAACAAAACTAATGAAACTTAGAGCAGTATCGTCTAATATCATGCAGAAGGGAAAGGATCGGATGGTCATCAGGAAAACAATTCCTAGAGTAATGGAGCAAGTGGAATATATTATAATGAAAAAAATAACAATTATCAGACAGCAAGAGATAAAATAGAAAATCCAGGATTACAGATATTCTATCATAACAAAAAAGTAGTCTTGGAAGAAGAAACTCACGACAGTGGGTCTTCTGAAGAGGCCTTCATTGGCTAAGTGGCAAAGATATTCACATTCATCCTACAAATGAAGTGTTGCAACTTCTCATTAAACTTGCATAATTTCCCATGAAGTGAAAAATATGCTGTATGCTTATGGATTTTTAAGTATCCTGGAAAACTTTATAAAACATCTATCAACAGTTATATAACATACTGCTAAAAAATATATTAATATATGCGACAAAAAGAAAAAAATGAAATATTTTGCTGCAAAATATCCCATCCAATACAATTATGCATACCTCCTCAAAGTCATCTTCGGATAGCGTCGATATTTGAACATCCTTATGCATATCAGAAACACATAGAACCATATCTGTAGACATTTCCCCTATCTTGTATGCCTGTAAGGCCTTCTTAACACCTGTTATAGTGATTTAATAATAAGTTTTTATAGCTTAACTATTGTTGCCACTCATTTGGCTTGGAGATTGAGTAACCTCAAGATGGATAAATGACAGTACAATTATCATCCTCTTTTTCAGGTCCAAACACCTGAATGACAGAAACTTGATTGCTGCCACATACCCATCTCAAGGTTAGAAGAGGGAACCATTCCATCAATCTAGAAAGCAACAGATTTTGTTAAAAAAAGTTCTAGATGCATGCAAGGCAACAGACAAACCTGTGACCTGTCCAAGCTTGTACATCCTTTCCGGTACAGAGTAGAACTCATTAGGATCAACTTTGACCCTCACAAAGCAGCCAGTGACTTTTTCTTCAAAAGTATCAGGATTTCTAAGAAATTCCACAATTAAAGATCTCTTTAAATACACTAAATTTATGTTCCTTCCAATTATGGAGGCATAATAACTTTTAGCTGGCACAGAAATATCATCCTTGTAATTCTTTGGATGTGATTTATTAGACTTGCTATCAGCAGCTGTATTTCTCTTCTTGTGCCTTGCAAATGAGTCATCACCCTCTTCTGAGCTAAATTCATCATCTGAGACATTATCTGAAGCAAAGTGACTCTCCAGCAAGCTGTGTATCTTATGAAACTTCACTTTCCTTTTTCTAAATAAGGCATACAGTCTGTCATCACACACTACATTAGTTTTCTTTTTAGTATCTGGATCACAGAGGTTGTTTGTTTGAATGTAATCCTTTATAATGTCACATGCATCCAACAATGCAAGTGGCTCTTTTGTATCCTTATCAATAGATGTAAGAAATTTTATGAGCTCCACTGAGCCCCAACTAGAAAACACTCTTTTCTTTGACATAGACCTTTTCTTTCGTTTTTTTGATTTACCATGCCTCCCTTTCGGTTCCTCAAGAAATGGCAACCCATCATCCAAATTATCTTCCATCTCATCAAATTCAGATCCTGTATCATCTTCAGGAGATCTATCTGAATCTGATCCACCCTTCAAATTTTCACCTCTTTTAAGAAGAGTATTTGCTGTCTGCAGATCAGCTAACTTCAGTCCTTCCTGATCCTTTATTATTTCCCAGTATTCCTTAAACAAGAACTCATAGGTCTCAGAATCTCTGAAGTCCACCTTTCCCTGGAAACAAGAAATTTTGATTTTAACAGGAAAGGAGCAAAGGAATATCTGGTGATGAAAAAGGTACATCACAACATCAATAACCCACTACTGGAAAGAGATCTATGCAACACATCAAACAAACATTTCCAGACTCTAGAGTAGCCATTTTTTTATTTATATAATGTGAAACATTTTACACGAGTGGTACAAGAAAATGTCCATGAATCTAGGGCTAGGACCAAAATTATAAACAAAGTTTCTTAATTGAAAACCTTCAAGATCTTTATGAAATCAATTAAGTGTGGAGAAGTTGAATGTTTAACGCCAACAATCTGTTAAAATTATTGAAGATTTATATAGAGCATACCCCATCTGAATCAACATCAATATTCTCTTCTATTAAGATTGCTAGCTTTAAGCAATTATTACAGAAGCCCTTTGTCCTTTCCTTAACATGAACAAACTCAGCTTCCTTTATGCATGAACGGCACACAGAGCTTGGGCAGCAGTAACATTGGAAAGTTGAAGCCTTTTGGCAGATAAAGCAAGAATGCCAACCTGACAGATAGACCAAGTCAATAAACAACAAAGAAAAGCAGAATAACAGGAACTTATAGCTATAAAAGAAAATTACATGAAATTACCATAACCATCACAATCTTAATTTAAAGTACTCTAAAAAGCAGATTTTATTGTTTGATCTTTCAAATGAATGGTACTGTGTTAACTTAGACAATCAAGAAGATGGTATGAGGCTTCCTAAAAGAGCAGAATCTCTTTGACAAACATAATGTGAGAACTACAAAATTTCCACCTTTCTACACAAGTTCCACAGCATGGGAACTATTTATCACCTATAAAGTTTTATCCTGTGAAATAGTTTGTCCACTGTAACAATTTCTGTAGAATCATAGCACATGATGGTTGGCACAACCAGCAGTAAAATGCAGTAAATATGTACGATATCCTAGCTAAAGAAACAATTTGGTTGTAAAAATATCAATTAGATATAGAAAAAAAAAGTTTTCTTAGATATTTACCACACGTCCAATGTTCATCAGTCTCCATGAATGAGAAATCCTTATCCACACATTCAGGATGGTAAGCTTTAAGACAATTCCTAGAAGAAGGAAAATAGCATGATTTAGCATTAAAGATTCCAAAATATATCTCCCAAACCTGCTGCTTTCTAATCCTTGAGGACAAGACCACCAGATGAATGAGGATGTCAAAATGGTAAAAAAAAAGGGACCAAGTTGCAACAAATAAACTAGATATACAGGTGCTACTAAATAGCAATATGAAATAATACAAACAGATAAACACAGTGTCAATTTAAAATTTGTTAAGTTCCAAAGCAAAGTATCCCCTAACAACAAACTCCAATAACAATGCAGGCATGCTTCAACTAGATATACAGGTGCCACTAAATAGCAATATGAAATAATACAAACAGATAAAAACAGAATGCCAGTTTAACATTTTGTTAAGGTCCGATGCAAAGTATCCCTCAAAAACAAACTTCAATAACAACAAAAGTATGTCTCCTACACATAACTAAGCAAAAAAAAATGGCATACTCAGAGAACCTTGCTGGAAAAGAAAAAAATAATCCCCCTTAGAGATGTTCATTTTGGACACTGAATATATAAAGGAAACAAAGAATTCACCAAACAAAGAGAAAATGATGGTAACTGACAGTAAACAACACAGTTACAGGCAATCAAGTAAATTAACAAGGATAGCAACTTGCAACATAGACATGATAAGACATCCTTTAACAAAGTTCAAGGCTAAAGCTCTCAACTCAAAGTATGGTTGCCGACAATAGCATCCAATTGATGCAGCAAAACCAATTTTCTCAATGAAGTGATGGTCGAATGACCTGATCCTAATCATAAAGTTTATGGTTTCATGCTTCAGTTCATTTGCACCAAAATGCAAACTTCTTTAAAAGTAACATTGTAGTGTAAACTTGTTTCAAAATTTAGCCATCACATTAGATCAAAATATTGAATTAAAACTCAAAAACTTATGAAAATTGAGGTCAAGAGAAAATTAACAATCCTAGACTAAGCCCTGGAAGTCTTAGTTTACTAATGATTATTAACTTGAAAATAAAATATTATATTTTCCAGAACTTCAATAGGAACAAACAAGGCTATTTATATAACATTTATACTTACTCTTTTTTTACTATTAGCTTAGAGTTCTAGTGTAGAAGTTGGAAGATAGAAGTGTTGTCTAAAGTTCATAGAAAGTAATTTCCTAGCAATAATATAATGAGTAAAACATTAAGAAACTAAGGAACTAAACTCGCATAACAAGGAAGCACTGAGAAGATCAATGAGATAACAACCAAAAATCTGAGCATTTCATTCCATTGACAGTACTACACATTCAGAGATTTAAGCAATCCACAAAATCAGACTACATATGTATACTCCATGAATTTTTAACAGACTCTTTTTTTTGGTTCAAACATTATCATTTTTTAGCATTACTGAAAATCGTTTCCTTTGTCAAATTCAATCTAGTAACCAAAATTACAAGTAACTCCAAAGCTTCAGAACCATTGAAAATAAAACAACTCATAAGGCTGTCCAAAAGTAGTCCAAGTATCACAAATTGTAGCATTTGTCCACCCATTTATGTTTCTTCGCATTACTTTATTTGAAGAATTTCATGAAGATGATACCAATCTACCTAGTCAAGATGGAAAGTCTTAGTTACCTTATTGGCATTACTGAACCAGTAATCAAATAGCTACAATTGGACACATACCATTAATGGTTCTCATCTTTTCAAGGAAATGATATAATTCCTAAAGATGAATTTTCCTAGAAAACCATTGAAAGAAGTTATTGTGATATATGACTGGTGCATATCACACAATTCATTAAAATGCATAAAATTAATCTCAGTGAGAACTTTGACTTGCAAGCGGTAACTAGTGCAAGGTACATAATGGTCTAAGCACAAATCAGCATGCGGACTGCACCCATTTTGAGTAAAATCGATAGCATGGTTTGCTGGTTCAGCCAAACTGAAGGAAACCAGTTGAACTAGTACTTAACATACTGGTGGAATTTAACTAATGTCTTTAAGACCCAATTTTAGGGTTCAGTCTGCTGCATCACTGCTTCGATCTTTCACGCTTACTGTGTCGATGCTTTGATGACCATTTATGGTTTAATCCTACATGGACGTCTTTGCTCCTTCCCCAAGATTGAAGGGTTGGATGATCAGAATCAGAGTACCAAAGGGAGATATTACCGGCAGGTGTTACAGGTCCACCAAAGAGAAGTACTCTTAACAAGTGGACTTCTGCTTTGTTGGAGAATCTGATTTCAGAGACCGAACAAGTTGAAATTCAAGAGATATTCAATGCGATACAATAAGAGAAAAACGAAGAATACTGTGATAAAGACAACAAGATGACCTAAAGCAGTCACAGAAATCAACATAGGGAAACATCTAATAGAAAACTATCATAGATGAGAACGGAAAAGGGAGAAGAAAACGAAATGGAGCTCACTTGAAATCGCACACTCGCAGATGCCCTCCATCCTTGCATGCGAAGCAGTAGTCCTCCGCTATCTCCTCCTTGTTCATCTCATCCTTCTTCATCTTACTCGAGAAATCGAGACTCCCTCACTCCCCTGCTCCAGCAGAAATCGAAGAGACCCTCTAAAACCTCCGCAAAACCCTGGGCTAGCGCAGAGCCAAGAACCCGGACTGCGTTCCTGTTAGAGGGGGACACATACACGAAATCAAAAGGTCTCGACGCGGTGAATCCACAGCGGAAGAGGCGCGGACAAGGGGATGAACGAACGCGAACTATTATGGCGGAGATCTTCGCCTAAATCTCCGGTCACGTTGTTCTTACAGTCTTTTCTTCCCCCTTTTTTTCCTGTTTTGTTTTGGTTATTACTGTTCATTTGACACTTTTAGCCTCGGGATGAATCAACAATATCCCAATGCCCGGTGAGATGACGTCGTCCGTTCGACGGAGAGTCGCCGGACGAGATTGGGTGGCGACGCGTCGGTCCGGGACGAGGGAAGCACGTGGGATTTGTCCGACGCCTTTTAATTGCTTTTAGTGAATTTTAAAGCCCCTTTTTCGGTTTTTTTCTCCTATTATATTTTGTCAGATATTACCTCTATCTATTATAATCATGTAAATACTTTTATAATAAAAATAAAAGTCACATCAAAAATATACGATAAGAGCCGACGAGAACGAGGACGAAGATAGCACTAGAGTCGAAAGATTATGCTAGGAGCAAGAGTTTGATCGGTATGATGACAAGACGAAGACAACGATACAAAATTATGAAAAATAAAAGTATTATTTAGGAAAAATAAAAAAAAATATTTTTTTAATTCTCGCACCATTTATACAATTTTGTAGGAAAAGTTACACCCCAACCACAAATTACTTTTATCATAACAATCAGTAATATATGTTTAAATCCGGATAATGTCTCACTTTTATTTATTTTCATTATTTTATAAAGTATACTAATTTTCATTGTGAAATATATCAAAATAATCGTAATGTCCATTCAAAACCATTCGAGAAGTCTCTTATAAATTATTTTATAAAATCTTCAAAACATATGATAAAATTAATAATCACTGATGAATATTTAAAGAAATTCAACTCCAGTTATTTTATTTGACTAAAATACAGTCTAATATTAAACCGATTCGACTGATTGGATTTCGGAAAAATCACCTAATATCATTTAAACATATTTCATTTTTTTATTTTTTTTCGAAATGTTGTTATTTATTATGTTATTAAACTGCTAATGAATCGAACTTTACAACCGAACTTTAATTATTGGAATGAATAAGAAATTGAATCAACAACAAAAATGGAAAAAAAAAACAGAGATGAACGGATAAAATATCATATAAAAATTAGAATAGTAATTCTACGAAAGAATTATTGAATAAAAAGAGCTGTGGTCATGCGTGCATGCTGAGTTGGCTGCTTCATGCAATGCAACATGGATAAACAAGCAACCAAATTGCAAAGATGTGATGCTTTGATGGCCATTTATTAGATTTAAAAACCTAGCTTGAGACACAGTAACAACCATATACACACTGGAATATTTCTTGCATAGTTATTTTCAGAGCCAAGCTCCGATGTCTGTGAACAACAATCATCTTATCCGGCATCAACAACCAACAAAGATCAACACATACTTAGACAATATGTTCTTTGATGAACCACAGAAATAGATGAACACAAAACGAAAATTATATAATTGATCATGGATCCAACAGCCTAACCAAAATAGTAAGTTGCATCAGAAACTTTATACGTGCAAACGGGAAGGTTAGAATCATTTGATTCTAGAGTAAAACAAGGCACTATGTACATGTTTTTACTTCAGTGAAAGACAATGACAATAGTAAGTTATAAGCAAATCCTGTACAAATAGTTCGTTACTAACCTCTCTCTATGCACCATCGATAATAATTAATAGTCATCTTGTTTTGGCTTCCTGCTTAAATCAGAATATTGCCCTCCCATGAGCTGCAAAATCTCCTCCCACAAATCTGACGAAGAATCCAAAGTTACCCCATCGATAAGATGTGAGCTGCAAGCAGCAACTACCCAGTAATCGGACTCGATTTCATCTAGCAACTGATCAAACTGCCAGCCAGCATACCCAACAAAGAATCTGAAATCCTCAGGCCGAAGCACTCCCTTCTTGACTAGTGCTGCAGCTTCATCTAATTTGTTCCTGGCACCAAATCGAACGCCTGAGACCACCTCCTCGAAACCTGGCACGCGTAAGCTGTCATCTGTCCTCACTAGGAACATGTTAGCCTCAAGCGGTCCCCCAAAATGAACAGAACAGTCTGCAAAGACAGTTGCAAGGTCAGGGTTTGATGATTTCATATGCTTGATCTTCCTATGCAGCGAACGGTTCAGAATGATTCCAAAAGGACCCTCTCTAGGGTCTCTAGACCCTGATCTGAGAAGAAGAACAACGGTTCTCTCGAAGCTGGGGACACCATCAAGCTTTTCAGTGGCAATTAACACACATCCGGTCTCTGGCACCGGAATGGGGTGTGCCCACTTCATACCAAGCCTCTGGGATGGCTCATTTGAAGCAGTATCCTTTACAAGGGTACCAGAATCGACTTCTTGCTCCTAAATCAGCGTGTGAAAAAGCTACATGCATCAGTTCCCCATTATGTTTAAAACAACTCTGGGTTAATATAACAGACATACACACACACACACACACACACACACACACACACACCATTGCAAACCAAATCATTACATGTATTTTGCAAATTGGCCACAAGTGGAACAGGCATGATCCAACCGATCACATATTATAACCACTGAACCATTTAAAACTAACCACATTGTTTCATTGATCATGAATTGAAGGCTGGCAATCAGGTAATAATATATAAAGAATAATACTCTATGGTCTTGGAACTCAATTTCAATCTTATTCAGATAAAAAGGCTTCTTCAAAGCATACAAAAGTCAAGGTCTACATGTTGCAAGAAAACAACTTACAATGAACATGAATTTTGTCCATGTGGAGAATGAAAAAAATCAAGAAAAAATTTGTAGCACTAGAAGAATCAAACAAATATATCTTAATTTATCATGATCAACATCTTATACTTAATAACTGATGCTTAGAGCAAGAAATTGATATAATACATGCAAAGTTTACCAGTTTGTTACTTGCACAAGATCAATACATAACATAACAATTGTTGGATGGACAGTTTGTTACTTGTATTAGTTTTTTTGGCTCACCTGCTCCCAGGCAACAAGATTTGCTCTGAAATCTCGCCAATCTGACAATGTACGGTTGGACTTTGTGGAGTCATTGAATTTTGATTTGTTGTACTGTGGAATGTTTCCCTCATGACCATCTTCTTCAGGAACTGAAGGATCATTATTTCCTGCTAATCAAATAATTTTTGAAACTAGAAAGCATTGTACATATATTCAAAGTACAGTTTATGAATGATTAATAGAATTCAATCAATATTGTGAGACTAAATTATTAGATATTTCTTTACTAGGGCTTAAACCACAAGCTTGTATATATAGGAAAGGAATTAAACAGAAGATATTTCTTTACTAGGGCTTATACCACAAGCTATAGGTGGCATGAACTTTTTAGAAAACTGAATTCCCTTACACTAGATCAGTCAGGAGCTTCATGAGAAACTAACCAACAGAAGATATCAGCATCTACTAAGAGGAAATAAAAGATTAATTCTTATGAATACATCAAAGATCTTTGTGCCTTGATTACATAAGGATTCTCATCTTTTACAGCTATATATTCAGCAGGAAGAAAATTAGAAATAGACAATATTCAGATCAGATATTTCGGATTCCAAGACTAGTCCCATCACTCCAGTCAAAATCTTTTGTCCAATCCTGGAATCAAAAAGGAGAAAATTGACCACCCTGATCAACAAGAGCCAGAGATGTCTCAAGAGCAAAAGAAGCTAAAAAATAAAGAAGGCCTCTTCGTTAGCACCAAAATCATCCTCTACTGTTGTCTCTGCTGAACATACTTTAATTTCATGAAATATCATTATCAAATTGTAAAATCTTCACAATAGCCAGGCAAGCAAATTTTAAACATCCAAAGAAACTGCATCGTTGAAGTTAATAATCTAGAGAAAAGGTAAGTCCTAAACAAGATATTGCACTTTGTGACAGAAGACCATACAAACAGAAGGACAATCCCACATTAAGTGTTACACATAAAAAAAAAAACAGATTTTATCTTCAGTCTCAACAAAAGAATAATCCTTTTGGGATCTTTTACCAGAAAAATTATTCCAATAGGTTAGGCAAAACCTTCATACCTATTATCAATAAAGAAAAAATAAACTTAACATATATGTCACTTGCAATATGTTTAGGAACACTGTCCTTAAATTTGGATTGATCAACTATGGTAATAATTTCGTGTAGATTTACCTTCATGCATATTCTTACTACTGCTAGATCTTGGGCCGAATAAAATAGCTTGCAGTAGCAAAGTGTAAAGCCTTTTCTCTATTGCATTTCACAAAACAGGTGATATCAACTAGCACTTTGCTTCCTAAAATTAGTATGAGCTTAAGATTTCAAAATAGTTGCCTTGCTGCTAATGGTTGAAATGAAAGATACAAATATGAAGGTTCAAAAAACAACCTCGGGTTGCCAGACTTTGCCGTTGAACCAGCTATTATTGTCCTGTGTTTTGCGCATCGAACCATATGTTCCTATGTTCCATGCATTGATACCATGTGGAATCATCAATAACAATTTTTTACACAATGTCATCCCTCAGGGAACTTCAAATCCCTTTCATCCACTATAAACACAACATAGTCTGACTACCTTCTCCAAAACATAATTATAGACAAGATTATCCAATTTTTTTATTTAATGCTAGAACTGACCTGACATATTTGTGAAGCATGCAACTAGATTTTGTAACTTAAAAAGGAATGGAATTCACAGCAGAAGTAAAAAAAAGCATTTCTTAAAACATACCAGCAGAATGGAAGTCACAGCAGAACATTCATTTCTTAAAATCTACCATCACAAACATGACTATAAATATGGATAATCTAGAACAGAATTCCTGAAAACAGGCAAAGAACAGAAAGTACTATATTGCACAGAAACATTAGCAGAAAAAACTATGCAATTAGTGCCTTTCTCATTGCGGCCTAAGTATCTTGCAATCAATTACAATATGCAACAAACAGGGCCGAAACTAAAATTCAAAAGGTCCTCCATCGTCAGTTTTTTCTTTTAAAACAATGGAGCAAATACCTTTTTTGGTGAAACATAAGAAACTGGTAAAATAATATATATATATATATATACACTTTCAATTTTATCCAATATAAACACAATCGTGGTCTTCATTGATCTAATTTATTATCCTCCCACTAATTATTTGCTTAACATAGCACAGAGAACCAAAACTAACAAACCAGATCATCAGATTTCCTGTATCCACAGCAATCAAATTGCTAGTAGCTTAGTTGTTCTGGCAATGTACGGAACTGATAAACCTAGAAAATCGTCTTTAAAAAACAGAAATAATATCAATCGGCCTCTTTTTGGGGCAGATCACAAACGAACACCCAAAGATCCCAAATCAAGTGGTATAGACAAGAGAAAAGCGAAGGCTTTTACCAGAAGAAGAGAGGTCGCCACGGTCGTTCTTCTTCTTACCGCTGGCCTTCACCACAACTGACCGGTTCCCGGACGCCAACGAACTCCGCCTCCTCAACGAAACCCTTGCATCGATCACGCCGGCAGGGGCCTCTTCGCTGCAAACGACCCTCCACCCAGCGGTGGCCCACCACGGCGCCACTAATCCCACCTTCGCGTGCTTCCTCGTCACCCCAAAGACGGATAACCCTCCTCCACTCTTGAGGTTTGGAGCCCACGCGTCCATGGCCGATCGACAAAGAAGAGATTCCCAAAATCCTTATTTGATTAGAGATTCGATCGAATTGGGAGGTCCTCAGGGCGTCACGGGCGGCGGAGGGTGAGACGAGTGGAATTCAATGGGATAAAAAGTGAGATTTGAGCCGTCTAGGTTCCGCCTCCAATAACAGAGACCTGCGCTGGCACGGGTCTTCTCTATGGGGTGAACCGAGCTGGGAATTGAGAGGCCCATGAAGGCGGACCAACTCAAATCCACGCCGATGAGCTGATCCAGAACTCTTGAATTAAAAAATAAAAAAGTTTAATTAAAGTAAAAAAAAGGAATTATAGGTTTTGTTTTATACCATGTATAAAATAATTATGATAATTTTTTTTAAAATTAAATACTTTTAGAAATTTTCATAGAGCACTCCCCGTTTTCAAAAAATGCTACAGAGCTTTCATTCTTTCTTAAAAAATGATTTTGCCCCTTGTTACCTCCTCATATAAACTTCTAGCTACTTGTGGTTCATTACCCTTATCTTTATCTCCACCTTCGTCTCATTGCTCCCACCCCCACTACTCGTCATTTTTATCGTCTTCATCATCAACCTTTATAGAGAGGACTACAAATAAGGATGGCAAGGGTGAGAGGGAGGACAACAAAATCGATAGAGGAAGAGGGGAGGACAGGTGAGAGCAGAAGTGGAGGTGAACACAACTAGCGGCGAGAGGCAAAGGTGACAAGTGATGGGTAAATATAAAAGTTGAGTCGTGATACAAACTAAAACAAGTGCAATGGGAGCATCCCTTATGGATTTGGATCCTCTACCTTATAGAATGAAAATTTGAATCCTATAAACAATTTGATACTATGAATCACCCTCTCTAAACATGAAGAACACTATAGTAGCATAGCAAGCATCATAAAGTGATAGAAAATATTCCGGTATCAATCATAGCCCGTCAATTGGTCACCACTAAAGAGTTAACGTAGAAGATATAAGGTCCAGGTCATCCCCTCTACAATCGATAGGGGGGCAACAACCTGTCAGCCACCATGGATCGTCACATGGGAGGCAGTTCGGGTTGACTATTGGGGGTGGTGCCTCCTAAGTGATCGAGCCAACCTGCGCCCTCTCCTAGTTAGCCCTTGTGGGTGACAACCCATAAGGAACCATCCAACTCAGCATTTTCAAATATTAGGGTTGACAAGCGACGCTCCCTTTGTCGTCCTCTGCTGGTACTGTGATGCGAGGGGCTATGCGGGTTGGCCGTCCACGTGAATACACCGTAGAAGGACATATGAGTCAATCCTAATCAACCGGGGTGCCCCTCAAGTAACTTCCCAAGTATGAAAATCAATCCCCAATGCTTGAACATGGATTAGACTTTGAACCCCAAACTATCTTAATTCCACAAAGCTACTTTAAGCGTCAAAAGGATCGAGTTAAAAAATCCCCCTGACATCGACTTATTGTGCAGGGCCCTCGAGGAGACCGAAGCCCATTCTAACCCTGCCTTGAAATGACCTCGGATGCTTAGAAGCTACCTCATAACTGTCCCTGCTAGCTTAGACTCAACAACAACCTCCTTACCTGATCATCACAAGGACCCTCTAGGATGATCTTGCATCTTCGGGCAAGACCAAACCGTACCAATTTTCGATCTATGACATCAAGATGGTAACATAAAGCAAATTGCTTTCTGGTCACCCCTAAATAGGATCAATTTACATCTAAGAATGCCTCTTATGCCTGATTATACTTCAGTAAGCAGAATCTCCATTTTCCAACATTTCTGGTGGGAGAATTATTGCTGTGCATACACATCGGAAAAGATTGCAACGAACAGTAAGTTTAGCCTCACAGAGGATCTCTCTAGCTGGTAGTTGAAATCAGATATCTTTATCGTCCGGCAACATGTTACATGAACATCTAGTCACCATATCCATTCTTCAGAAAGAAAGCAATAAGATACTGAACTAATATTCAGAGTCATTTACAGAAGTGACAAATTGAGTGATATTTAACCAAAAAAATTCCTGTGGTTTTTCCTCTCTTATTCTTTGATGTGGAAGCAAAAATGAGGTGCTAAGGTGCGTACAACAACAAAATGCATAAAGCAGGTTGCAAAATTTGAGCACTGGTTCAGCAACTTAAAATGGAAGTATCAACAGGAAAAGCGAGGCACAATTTTGGCTTCTGTTCCAGAAACGATGATAGTAGAGCTATTTATTCTTGAATGAGAACTTGTGGATATAACCTCCATCATCCTGTTTCATACCGAATTTTAGCAGGCAACAACTTGATCCACCATGATGTTTGTCACTATCAAATCATGGTTGGCAGAAGTTTGACATGCTCTATGAGATTCCAGTTGCAATACTGGAAGTTGCATGGATCATCAAAGAATGCTCTGGTATGAATGTCAAACCTGTGATATTGGAAAAGCACTGATGAAGTTCCAATTGTCACAAGTAAACATAATGTTTATAATTCTAACACAAAACAAAGCTACTCATCCACTTTATATTAGAATCTGATGTCCAAAACAATCTCTTTGAATACCAACTTACACACTGTGAATATCAAACTGATATAACATTGGAGGATAATCTACAAACAAATTTCTCCTTCAAAGACAGGGAAATAAATGCAAATTTTTATTCACTTGATAGAACTCTCAAGAATATCAAAGGCAAAACTAACTTTGGTATTTCGACATCAAATTTACATGTGGGAAGAAATTTAGCTGATCACATGACATGGAACTTTCAACATTTAAAAATGAGAACTAGTGTATGCATGAATTTCTTCACATAATGATGTTTGATAACAATCATACTTATGTATTGAATCTCAGACTGCACACAGATAAGATAGGACAATAAGATAAAATATGTATGCCATTCAAGCACCAACAGAAAATGAGATTGTAGTTATAGATGAATATCAAGAAAAGAGATATTGAATCAAGCATGGATAGCAAGTTACTGCTTTGACTAAAATGATAATTGGGTTAAAAACATAGACTGATTGACAAGGTATAACATAAAACAACAAGCTTAAGATCTACACTATTAACACAATACCCGGTCCACAAATGCGATGGCAAAGTCTATGAAACGTTAGTAGAGAGGAAAAACCTGATTTAGGTAAGAACCTATAGTCACATGGAAGGCTTCTCTAAGGAAAATCTGTGTCTCATTTAACGATATACATAAGGTGGAAAATTTTCCTGCATGTGTAACTAATGAGAAAAAAAAGCAATTGAAATAGGAGTTGGAGAAATTCACTTATCTCATATATACATGCTTGCACATATAAACACTTCAATATAATTTTGCAGAGAATAACATAGCATGCATGTTTGTCTAAATAGTTTTTGTAGAGAGATGCATGAGAAGGAAACCTTGTTAGCAACCGTAAATTACTGTCTTGTGATGATTATCTATACAAGACAAACTAAACCAGAGAGATTTCCCATGTGTGTGGGTATGTGGGTATGTTTTTTAGTTTCCTATTAATTTTTTGGAGGGAGAGGATGTTGGTGGTTAAGTGTAGCAAAACTGCTATAGAAAAATCAGTACATCTTGCTGTTTGTTCTCACACTCAAGTGATAGTTCTGTTCCATTTTAATCTTGTCAACTGAATGTACAAAACCTACCGTTATGTATTACCAAGCTGCCAAAAGTTGATCTTTACAAGCAAGGCTTCCCTCTAACTACCCAAAGGCACAAACAAATTTTGTTCATGGACTCATGCATGGAAAAGATTAACATTCTCAATGAATGCCAAGCATCAAGTAAGACACACCTTTCTCCTTAACAGCTATCTGCAGAGTATCAAGTGTAATTATCCCATCGGTCAAAGGGAGTAGCTCAAGCTTGACTGTGGCACTTGAACGTGCAGGAATACATCTGGGTCATTATGGAATGATGTCAAAAAGAGAGCTTTTAGACTATAGATTGAGATGGAAGATGGACATTGCAGATGATGTTACCCAAGGGGGACAGCACTCTGCAACCATAGATGTGTAAGGCCTGAGCTGTTTCTTGAAATTACATCAGACTTTATAGCAGTCTGTTGGCTCTCATTCTGAGATTTTGTTGCAATATGTACTGAACTCTGGCTCTGAACAATGCTTTCACTCTTGTCCCTAATTCTTGGCACATAATCATGAAAAGCAGCATATGAGTTCATTGGGGCTTTTGGTGTTGAGCTCAATGACAAAACTGAAGGAGAGGAAGATGTTTCCGGAGCAAGAACAGTAAATGTAAGATCTTCAGATGATAAATTTGTAGCTTTAAGGGTTAAGACCTGAAATAAGTCACAAGGTTGGAAATCATTATTTATGTTCGAGTTCAAAACCCAAATTTTGAATATTACTAAAAGCAAGAAGTACCAAAAGTTATAATACCTTGACAGGAAGTTGAGGTGCTCTTACATTAGGACTACCGGTTTGCTGATGAGACTCTGATGTTATGGAGATCATAAGATCCCTTGCAATACGTGGTTGCCAATCTGTTATATGCTTGAAGAACAATTTTGACTCTATGGCGAAAATAAATTACAAGACTTAAGATTAAACTATTAACTAAAAAATCTTGAAAGGAGCAATTATGTCATCCAGGGTCTCCATCGTACCTGTATAGTTGCAACGACAAGATACCAAGATGGCAAATTGATTTACAGGGGAAAAAACTGTCACCCCTTCACTAATACTTGACATCTTATGTGTATTTGATGCAGCTGCACCTGTTCTTGAATATGGAATTGCCTCATTGTTGCCCTTATGATCTTTGTTTGCTGTAGTTGCCAACTTGAGAATAAAAGAATGTTCTTCACCTCTCCTGAAAACGTAATTATTGTGAGATGATATAAAGCACTCATTTTGACTGATCACCACTATTTAATGAGTTATAAGTGACTATCTCTGATCATATAAATATTGAATTGAATACTAATATTTACAATTTGAATGAAAAATGTAACAGAGCCAGTACGATTAATATAAACCCATTGAAAATCAATTTGAAGTTCCTCAAGCAACAATTATTCATTTAATAATAATTCCATAATCAATCTCATATCGACAAAATATTAAGCAATTAAGATGCTTGCAAATGAAGATCAAACTAGAGTGACTACTTTTTGTAGACTGATACCGGGTGATGCCACGATAGTAGATACAGAGTATGCAGCTAATTATTACAACTAGGAAACATCCAACTTTATGTTCAGAAAGGGAAAAGGCTTTTTATAGATCTCAATAGGGACAACAGATCCATATAGCCGACCCCAAATAGTTGGACTTATGGTCTTCTTATTGTTGTATATTCAGAAAGAAAAAAATACAAATAAAGTATATATAATACAATATTATTTAGTTTTTGTTTCGTCACATAAGAAAAAGAAATAAAGTGTATCAAAATATCTAATAAAATAGTTATAGCCAAGAATTGATATTTTGGGTACTGGACCCATGTCAGTCTATAATTGAACTTAGTATGAGTCTGGTCCATGCCAGCGTACTGACATATGATAAATGCTCTATATAAGATCAAAGTCTATTGTAAGCCATAGGCATGATTTAGCTACCATCCATACTGCACTGCTAGTGAACACTTCATGTTAATCCATAACAATAAAGAAATAAAAGAAGTACGAGATGATAAAAGACAAGAATCAAAGTGAATAGGAATACTTATAATCAGGGATGGTCACGCATTAAGCCACTCAGCCAGACCCACTTGCAATTTCGTTGCCCAGCAAGGGATTTTGCAACAAAGAGGGGAGAGAGAGAGAGAGAGAGAGAGAGAGTCAAGCTTCTTACCATATTGTTCCAGCTTCCGCTGGTCCTCTTACACAAGACAATGTGTAAGCAAAAAACTTTTTCTACATTAAGCAGTGTGTTGTTTTGATTAGTCATTTAGTTGAATGCACCCAAGGGCTCACTTTTTCTACTTTGTATGATTGCACAATAGGTTTTAGCTTAATTTATTATTGCTTTCTGAATAAATGTATTTATTTTTGATAAGTGTTATAGAAATCATGGTATGCAATACCGAATCGTACTGTCCGGTACGGGCAGTATGTACCGGTCCGACGACATACCGGTACGCGGACCGCTCGGTACCGGTACAGTGCTACAGTATTACACTATAGCAATACTACAGTACTACACTGTAGCAGTGCTACAGTAAGGAGAAAATATATAAAATTGTTCGGTACGCCTGGTGTACCGCTCGGTACGCCTGGTGTACCGCTCGGTACGCCAGTACCGTACTGTACCGAGACAATCTCGAAACACCGGTACGGTACGGTATTGCATACTTTGATAGAAATACTTATCAAGGTTCGTAATTTCGTATCGTACCGACATATTGTGCTTTGCTTGGTACGGTATGGTATGAGCATACCGAGCGGTACACCAGGGTGTACCGCTCGATATGTATATATATAATATATATAAAAATATAAAAATCAATATATAAAAATAATATATAAAAAAGGAGGCGTACGCTACTTCGATGATGTCTCCTCCAGTGATTGCAAAAGGCGCTCGGGCGCTCGCCTAGGCGCTCGGGCGAGGCGAGGCGAGGCCCGAGCGCCTCGCTAATGTCCCAGGCGGCGCGCTTCAATTAGG